TCTCGTAGCCAATGTGAACACGAGAATCATTTGAGGACTGTGTTGCTGACATTGCGAGAACATCAGCTTTATGCTAAGTTCTCAAAGTGTGAATTTTGGCTAGACTCAGTATCATTTCTGAGGCATGTTGTATCCAAAGATGGAATTATAGTAGATCCTAAGAAGACCGAAGCTATACAGAAATGGCCCAGACCTACTTCTCCTAAAGAGATTCACAGATTTTTAGGCTTAGCAGGCTATTACAGGCATTTTGTACAGGATTTCTCCAGAATAGCAGTGCCACTGACTAAGGTAACACAGAAAAATGCAAAATTTCAGTGGACGGAGGAATGTGAGCAGAGCTTTCAGAAACTCAAAACATGTGTGAGTTTGACAACTGCACCAATATTAGCCTTACTATCGGGTTTTGAAGGATTTACAGTATTTTGTGACGCCTCGAGGGTGGGATTATGATGTGTTCTCATGAAAAATGGTCGCGTTATAGCTTATGATTCGAGACAATTGAAAAGGCATGAGCAAAACTATCTGATGGCTACAGTGGTATTTGCTCTAAAAATTTGAAGGCATTATCTATACGACGAGCTTGTGGGATTTATACTGACCATAAAAGTCTGAAGTATATCTTTCAGCAGAGAGATCTGAATCTTCAGCAACATCGGTAGATGGAACTGCTCAAAGACTATGATTGTTCTATTTTTTATCATCATGGAAAAGCCAATGTGGTGGCTGATGCATCGAGCAGAAAATCTATGGGGAGTATGGCACACATAGCTCTTGCAAAGAGACTTTTGGCCAAAGATATCCAGTGACTAGAACATACATGTATCATACGTAGTGTCAGAAATTCAAAGGCATTGTTGGCTTGTGCTCAAGCTAAGTCTTCATTAGTTGAGCGCATTAAGTCCACCCAATATGAGGATGAGCGATTATGCAAATACAGAGATGAGGCCTTAGCTGGTAAAAGCAAGGATATGATTGTTAAAAGTGATGGTGTGCTTCGAATAGGTGACAGACTATGTGTAATAGACGTAAATGGGTTGAGACATGCTATTCTTGAAGAAGATGACAACTCTAAATACACTACACATCCTGGATCCACAAAAATATACCATGACCCAAAGCAATTTTATTGGTGGGAAGGTATGAAGAAAGATGTTGCTAACTTTGTTTCTAGTTGTTTGACTTGTCAGTAGGTCAAGGCTGAGAATCAGCGATCCGCAGGACTGTTACAACAAATTGAGATTCCAGAGTGGAAATGGGAAAGAATTACTATGAATTTTTTCACCGGTCTACCACGAACCCTTAGATATTATGACTCTGTATGGGTGATTGTAGATCGATTGACAAAATCAACACACTTTTTTCCAGTAAAGACTACATATGGGGGAGTGAGGTATGCACAGATATTTATGAAAGAAATTGTCCAACTTCACGCAGTTCCAGTACCCATCATCTCTGATAGAGGATCACAGTTCACTTCACGCTTTTGGAAATTTTTTCAAGAAGCATTGGGTACACAAGTAGATCTTAGCACTGCATTTCATCCACATACAAACAGGAAGTCTGAACGTACTATACAAATCTTGGATTATACGCTGAGAGCTTGAATTCTTGAGTTTGGATGTAGTCGGGAAGCTTATCTACCTTTAGCTAAATTTGCTTACAACAATAGCTTCCAGTCCATTATTCAAATGGCACCGTACGAAGCATTGTATGGTAGAAGATGTCGCTCTCCTATCGGATGGTTTGAAGCTGGTGAGACTAACTTATTGGGACCTGACTTAGTACAAGAAGCTATGGGCAAAGTCCAGTTGATCAGACAGAGATTACTTATAGCTCAAAGCAGAGAAGGAAAGAAAGAGAAAAGTAGAAAAGAGAAGAAGAAAAAGAAAGCTTTGGACTAGGCTTTAAGAAGAACTGGGGCATGAAATTGAAAGTATAAAATTCTCCTTCGGCCCAAGAGGTTAACCTTCTTCCTATCAGTTGAATTATTTCACTACATCTACGCGATTTTATATAGTACAAAAGAATTCAATATCAGATTTTTTGTTAATAAATAACTAAATACTATGGACGGTAAGGCTATAAAGGTTTGGTTTAAGTACTGATAGGTCTAATTTTGAAGAAATAAAGCATACGTGTTAGTTTGAAATTTATAGATTTTGGACTAATTCTATGAGTAAATATAAATCCACAAATTAAGACTCAAACATGAACCCCAGTGATTGGGTCTTCTAAATTAGCTATGAATTAGCCTAAACAAGGAAGTTAACATGAGATCAAAATTATGTAATTATAGATTGATTGGAGGAATTTGTATGAATTACTCGAGGTGAAGCATTTGGTATTTCGGCACAAGTACTGTGAGTAGTAAATCTTACCGCAATTTATGTTTTCATAACTTGCATGATTTATACATGATTTTTAATATGAATATGTTACCGATTATTTTGAGTTGCATGTGGGACAAGTCTTTTAGTCGATATGATACCGAAATAGTTATTTGAGATGATTACCGTTGTCACTAGATCTGTTTTACTGTTACTTGAATTTACTGTTATCGAAATGAAATTATATAATTTGATAAGAACCGAAATGCTCTATATTATTTTAAAATATTTTCTACGAGAATATACGGATTACAGAGACAAGTATAAATGGGAGTAGACGTTGAAGGATCCCGCAACTAACGACGGGTTCGTTAGACCTAGTGCACCTTGTAATTACCGATTACCGTTATAGCCCTCGCTAGTGGGAAGGTAGAACTAGCATACCGTTATTGATTTTCCTCGAGTAAGGACTACCGTTATATTTGACTTCTTGTGAAGAAGTCCACAGTTATACCGATTACATGATCCGTTTATTGAAACCTCCCAAATATGAATATTGATATTATACAGTAGTTACCGAGTTTATTACTGAATTGTTAATTGTATTATACTACAAGAAAAATATTATGAGAATAAAAATTATTTATTGTTTCTGAAAGGGCACTTTTATGATATTTTCTATTTAATATACTAGCATGTTTTCTGACTTGTCCCCAATAAAAATGATTGTGGTTAAGTGATATTACTCACTGAGCTAGCGACTCATTCCCCGCTAATTTTTTTTACAGAGACGACAATTGATGCAGGCGAGGATTTTGTTAATTAGAGCGCACAAGTTGATAGTTCTTGGTGAGCCTCGCATTTGTTCGCGTGGGAGGAGATTTTATTTATTGTTATGATATTTTCTTTGAAATCTTAGAGTCGCTCCATAGTCACTCTTTTAGTGTCTTGAGTATTCTTTTGTTATTATAAATTTATGTTGAGTATCACTCATTCTTATCAAAGTTGGAGATAAAGTAGTATTTCTAGTTGTTAGTGGGTGGACTATTAATAGTAGATATTTGTTTTGGTTAATTGATAAAGTCATTGTCGTTTGAATTGTTATTAGGACGTTTGGTTATTGATTTGAGACAGGAAATTTTTTGGGATAGTCCAAAAATAGGAAAAACTCTGTCCGATTTTATGTAAAATACCGATGAGGCTTACTTGGGGGCACTTGCTCCTAAGTGCCAGCCATGATGCTAAATTGGGTCGTGACACCATTTTAAGCGAATAATAAGGAACTAAGTGTTCCGATTTCAAAAGCAATTATGGTACTTTTTTATCAATTATGGTTAATTAATATGTATTTTTACCTCATTTATTACTTAATCATGATAAAGTACGATGATTTGATATAAACATGAAATACATTTTTAGCGCAAATACTCCTTACTTATTTTATTATTATGTATCCTACCTCCTATGAGCCCTAAGTATTCTAGAGACGGCTGAGAATTGTTTTTGGTATCTTTTGAAAAAATTACTCAAATAGCTAGTGTTTGTATACATCATAAATCTTGTTGTATCTTATTTGCTCATTCGCAATTTATTATAACATAAAATCATCACTATTTCTAAATAAGTTTATGTGCTCTATAACTTTCTTATGCCTAGCTTATAACCACGAAAGAAAGTATTCCTATTTCTTTGAAATATCAAATGTTTTGACACAAATTAAATTTATCGAAACACTATAAGTGGGCATTTGGACATAAAAATTATAAAATTCCGATAAAAAATAAACAAAAAATTCAAGTGAAAATAGTATTTGAAAATTAGAGTTGTGTTTGGACATGAATATAATTGTGGGTTGTTTTTGAATTTTTGTGAGTGATCTGAGTGAAAATTTTGAAAAACAGCTTTTTGGAGTTTTTAAATTTTTTAAAAATTTCCAAAATTCATCTTCAAGTGAAAATTGAAAATTTTATGGTCAAACACTGATTTTGAAAAAAGTGAATTTTTTTTCATAGCCAAATGGGCTCTTATTTTGGATCAAAGAAAGAATTCACTACACTACAACATTTTAGGCCTACAACCACCCCTGAGAAGTGTGGCCTAAGATGCCAAGAAGTGTAGCGTTTGGGCAAAGGCAACACTTTACGACTTTAGGCAACGCTTTTTGGGGGTGGCCTAAACTACAGTAACCTTTGACTATTGGCCACGCTTTGTAGGTGTTGCTTTAGAAGCCACGCTTTAAAAGTGTGGCCGATACGGTACAAAGGCCACACTTATATTTTCTCATGTAGCCACCTTTTATGACATAAGGCTACACTTATGAAGCGTGATCTTTGTCACGTTAAAGGCTACGCTTACAAAGTGTGGCTTCTAGAGCAACATTTATCAGTAACAACGCCAGATTGACAATCTCTATGGCCACCCTTTTTAAGTGTGGCGATTTTGTCTACACTACAAAATTATCTTTCAAATACTTATATTAGCCACAATTTTGTGGTTAAAAAACTATATTTGTTTGCATCAAATTCTGTTCTCTCTCACACACACACATATCTCAAGCATTAAATTAGATAATAAGTAATAGAATAAATTAAATAATTCAAATGCATATACTTAAAATAAATTTCAACAAAGAAACATATTTTGTGTACTGTCTATAGTAATAAAGCACTGCTGGTTCAAGAGTTCACTAGAAAAGACCTCTACAAAACCAAATGTATTCATATTTATAGAATCAATAAAAATAAACATCCCAATTGTTCAAAAGGTCTTCACCAAACATTAAGGGCAGTAATAAGACTGATCTCAGGACTAAAAACCAGTGACTTAATGGAGTCTAAGTCCGTCAAAGGAACTCCATATAGCCTCTCCATTGTTAGAACATGCTTAGTACTACATTGAGGGTAGACTTTTGGAGCAGTGACCTGCTTAGTAAGTCCCATGGCTTCTAAATACCTCCTGAATGACTCAACATTTGCAGCCCCTTCTTGAAGCCAACTTCTTCTAGCATTGATTCTTGTATGTCTTTGACAATAGCAACCTGTATAAAAGTTGCATGTTAGGGAACAAAAGCTTGACGCCATTACTTTGGGGCGGGATGGTGAGGAAGAGTGAGACAAATACAAAAGCAAAAATATTATTTATACGGAAACATGCTCCAGTGTCCACAAGTTCACAACAACTAGTCATCAAAATTGAAATAGAGCAGTAATAGATAACAATTAGAACCACAAAAAAGTATGATTCAAAAAATAGTAGTATGAAAGAAATAGATGCAACAGAACCATAGCTTCGACCTATTGGCAAAATCTATAGAACATTGCAATACTTCACCATTCACTTTAATGAATCAAATTGATTTGTGACTTCAAAATAAAATTAAAAATTAGGAAGAAACATATATATAGTATACACTGGTTAGAAAGCATGATTTTGTAAGTTAAGATTGAGGTAATTTTTGAAATTGGGAAATATAAATACCTTTTCAAGACTTGGGGCGTGAGTTGAGCCAGAAGAATGTGGTAGATTTTGGCCTCTCATAGCTCGTGCACTACTTGCATCAACTGGTGAAGGAATATTAGATCCAACACACCCTTGTATCATGAAAATCCAGTCTGGGGTTGTTTTTCACCATTTGACTAAAAAAACATCGCATTTCTTTTCTCATCATTTTCTTCATTTCTTCCTTCAGAGAAGTTATTTCATTGGCATGTTTTGTTTAAGCTTGGTGATTTATTCATCTTTTTTCAGAGAGCTTGTCGTCTCCGATCTACCATAGCATCTAACCCGACCAGGCTGCTCCTTTCCAAGTACAGCCCTAAATGCATCATCTGTTGTTTCTTCGGAACTTTGACAATTCTGAAGTTCAAACTGTAAAAAAAAATATTATTGCACATCACTTACAAGTAAACTGCACATACTATAATCTCAAGAAATGCTTTTGAGTTATGAAAATTTAGGCTCTTACTTCCAAGAAAGGCACAACAAAGACATGAATTTAGGCTAGATTGGAAGATATGAAAATTCAGCTCCTTTAAACCTTCCCAATGGTCTTGTTTCCAGTTTCATGTTGTGCTCTTATAATAGGAATAACATCCTAATAAACTGCCTATAACTAGGTGCCCTTGTTCACAATTTGTCTTCACAGAAGTCGAAGATTTAAGCTTTTTCTGTTCAGAGGTGACACTTAATCTTTTTATAATGAAATGAATAAAATTATGTACATCTTCACTCTATAAACATGATCTTGCATTCTGTACTTATTTCTCCATCCCATGGACTTGCCCTAAAATAATTCACAAGTAGAAGTATACTCCTTCTGTTCCTTTTACTTGTCATGTTTGATTTTCGCGCACCCCTTAAGGAAACATTGATTAAAAGGACAATTTAACTAAATTACCAACAATAACAACAACAACAACAACAACGACCCAGTATAATCCCACAAGTGGGGTCTGGGGAGGGTAATATGTACGCAGACCTTACCCCTACCCCGAAGGGTAGAGAGGCTGTTTCCAGGAGACCCTTGACTCAAGAAAGTAACAAGAGACGATATATTAGTACCATAAAAATGCATAATAAAATAACATTAATATAAGAGATACGAAATATAGAATACGAAATACGAAATAGATGGCTGGTATAGTAAAAACTAGCATGTAAAGCCCTGCATCAATAAACGACCAATGGCATTCTCAGTATAACTCCTAACTGGCTAGTTTCACTCTAATGTGTTGTAGAAATATTCATAACTTTCCCCTAACCTACAACCATAATGCTCGACCTCCACAATTCCCTATCAAGGGTCATGTCCTTAGTAATCCTAAGTCGCGCCATGTCCTGTCTGATCACCTCTCCCCAATACTTCTTAGGTCGCCCTCTACCTCTCCTCGTTACCACTACATCCAGTCGCTCACACCTCCTCACCGGTGCATCAGTGCTCCTCCTCTGAATGTGCCCGAACCATCTGAGTTTTACTTCCCGCATCTTGTCCTCCATGGTAATTTAACTAAATTACCATTATTTATTATTTGATCTCAATTTATTAAAAACTACTTTTGCTTTCACTGTATTAGTTTCTCCCCCACATTCATTAGATTTTAGAGTACAATTATCTAAGATAGACAAGTATTTTGAAACAACTATTTTTTAAAAAACATGACAGCTAATTAGCAACAATTAGCACAACCATAACCTAGTTTAATTCACATCTTAAAAAAGGCATCCCGGTGCACTAAGCTCCCGCTATGCGTGAGGTACGGGGAAAGGCCGGACCATAAGGTCTATTGTAAGCATTCTTACCCTGCATTTCTGCAAGAGGTTGTTTCCACGGCTCGAATACGTGACCTCCTGGTCACATCGCAACAACTTTACCCGTTACGTCAAGGCTCCTTCTAAACTAAAATTAATCACATTCTGGAAGTTCAGAAAGTTCCAGGTTATACAATTACAGTCAAAGTTAAAAAGTAAAATAAAACCTTTAACCTCATTTCCAACATTATACATACATTTATACAACATTACTATCTTATTCACCCACTTCACAAAAATCAAAAACAGTAATTTCTTAGTATCATCTACACATATTTGCATAATCAAGATAGAAAGAAACAATAAAAGAAAACAGAAAAATCCAATGAATTTATTATAACGACCCGACTTTTCGTTCTAAGAATTAGCATTTTTGTTCAGCGGCTTAAAGACCTTGAGAAGCTTTGTAATATGCATCATGAACTGCATGTATGGTCGAGATTGGTTTTTCGTAAGATTCGGAATTAAATTTAAAGAGAAAAAATAACAAAATCTTATTTTTGAAGCTCAAATGGAAAGAGTTGACCAGAGAGTTGATTTTTGAGTAAACGATCCCAAATGAAATTTTAATGATGTCAATAGCTTCGTATGACGATTTCGGACTTAGACGTGTGTCCAAATTTGGATTTGGACGTCCATAGGACAATTCGACGCATTTCGGCGAAATAAGAAAGTTGACGTGTTCTAATAATATTATTTTATATGTGAAAGAGGTCTATTACCATTATGAATACCAATTGGATATGATAGCAAGTGTACAAGGCATACTATAAGATATATGGGGTTTAAGGAAAGTTCTAAGTCTAAGACAAGTGGGAAAATTACATAATATACAAAATTTGCAAATGAGTACGCACAAGACCTCACTTTGGATGAGCATATCTACGTGGATATAACGAGTTGTGTTATACACAACCTATCAAATTAAAGCTCTTTGAGTCTAGTATTCAAATAATCAAACCGTTTGTCATTTGGAGATGTATACTGAAAGTTATGACTATTTTACTAGCGTTGTCGCGCATCTGGCCGCGCTACTAGCGCGTTCAGAGGCAGAAACATTTCGAACAACTTGTCACGACCCAAAAATCCCTCCGAATGAGTCGTGATGACACCTAGTCTCTAAAATAGGTAAGCCTAGCATTTACTGAAATAACATTGATATTTATTAACTTGAAATGAAATTTCTCTAAACAATTTACAATTCCCACAACCGGTAGTACAAGTCATAAGCCTTACTAGGAGTAGTCATACAACATAAATACATCACTATTCCGAAACAAGGGAACATATGGAAATAAGCTCAATTGAAGGTGACTCTAAGGACTGCGAATGCTACAGCAGGTTTACCTTGAGTCTCCACCGCAACGAACAACTACTATCGATCAAATACCTGGATCTGTACACACAAATGTACAGAAGTATAGTATCAGCACAACTGACCCGATGTGCTGGTAAGTGCCTAGCCTAACCTCAGCGAAATAGTGACGAGGATAGGACCAGACTACCAAATAAACTTGTGCAATATAGCGTACGAAAATAATACGAAGCAGATACCCATGATGGCAACAATGATCAACCAATGATATAGAAAGCAGGTAACAAGAATACCATAAATGTTTCTCAACAATTAATAAATACATGTGCAATCAATTAATCAAGTCCTTCAAATATAAATCTTTCACCTATAAATCCTTCAAGTAATAATCTTTAAGATAGTATGTTTTTCAATAAATATATTTTGAATATATTTCCTTCAAATAAATCTCTTTCAAATAAGCATCTTTCGAATATAATTCTTTCGAGTAAAGGTCACCTTGTGACGCCTCATTTCATAATCATAAATAATATAGGTCTCAACTCACTTTCATATTTTCACGACATCTCGTGCCCATATTTATACCACAACCGTACGGACAACTTACGTGCTATTAAATAAAATCATAATATTTTCCCTGACACTTCGTACCTATATCATAATCTGTCATTAATAAAAATCATCATATTTTTCCCGGCACCTTGTGCCCACATGTCTCTGTCTCACATTTCGCAACAACATTCTCATGTTACTCAATTCATAGGGTCCATAACCCAATACAATTAAGAATGTTCCAAGAGCCTTATTTACTTAATATAAAGTAGAGTACAACTTCCAACCCAATTAGGAATCAACAAGAAATGATGAAGTTATTTTTAGAAATCATTTGAATAAAGAAAATACCCTTTTTAATTAAAGTACAATTATTGAAAATTTAAGTATTGAAAGCTTTATATAAATGCGGCGAGGTATTGAAAACAATATTGTTTACAACACAAGGGATTACAACACAGTAAAGGGATCTAAATAGTTAATACACTTGAAATATTAATAACAAATAAACACCACAAATAGAAAGTGCACGGCATCACCCTTCGTGCTTTTACTCTCGTTCTCACCATACACGGCATCACCCTTCGTGCTTTTACTCTCGTTCTCACCATACACGGCATCACCCTTCGTGCTTTACACTCTTCCTCACCATATACAGCATCACCCTTCGTGCTTTACACTCTTCCTCACCATACACGGTACACTCTTCCTCACCATACACGGTACACTCTTCCTCACCCAAGCAACATTTACAAAGCAATCCAGGCAAGGAAGTCAATAATATCAGGTATTAACAAGAAACCAATAAAGGAATATAAGGAAAGCCATAATTTAATTATCAACAAAAATAAGGAAAATCAAGGACAAGTGCACGACATCACCCTTCGTGCTTTTACTCTCTTCCTCACCATAAGAATCAATATAAACTGCACGGCATCACCCTTCGTGCTTTTACTCTCATCCTCACCATAAAATCAATATAATCGGCACGGAATTGTACATCGTGCGGCACGGCATCACCCTTCGTGCTTTATCACTTTTCATCACCATATGAATAATGTAAATGTGCACGGTATCACCCTTCGTGCTTTATCACTCTTCCTCACCCAAGCAACAATCACCAAAGCAATTTGGGCAAGGGAAAATAAAAAATATCACAATAAAACCCCGGTAAGGGAAATAATATCAAAGCAACAACATCCCGGCAAGGGAGATAATATCATCAACCTCTTCTCTTTTTCACATTTACTTCACAACTCAATTCACAATTTGAGCCAATGCTCTATAATGTTCAACAATTCAATTCTCAACTTGAGCCAATGCTCTATAATGTTCAACAATTCTATTCTTAACTAGAGCCAATGCTCTACAATGTTCAACAATTCAATTCTCAACTTGAGCCAATGCTCTACAATGTTCAATTATTCAATTCTCAACTTGAGCCAACGCTCTACCATGTTCAATTAACAATAATACTTCTACAAGTCATATACCTCAATAGAAATTATCATATAGAGCCTATACAATACGAGGGAGTCACATTAATCAAAGTATAAGACTCACGAGCATGCTTGACACCAACGTATAGATACTCGCCACCATGCCCATACGTCGTACTCAACAAATAACACATAACAAATAGGACACAACCCCGAATCCCTCAAGCTAAGGTTAGACCAAATATTTACCTCGCTTTGCAACCAATTCATAATTTTCAATAAGCCTTTGCCTCGCGAATTCGTACCCAAAATCCTCAAATCTAGTCATAAATAATTCAAAATACTCAACATGAATCGTAGGAACTAATTCTATATGAATTTACAAATTTTCCGGATTAAAATCCGAAATTTAGCTCAAAAATTGCCCGTGGGGCCCACGTGTCGGAATCTGGCAAAACTCATAAAATCCGACAACCCATTCCGATACGAGTTCAACCATACAAAAATTATCAAATTTCGATGTCAAATGGACCTTCAAATCCTAAATTTTCATTTTTGGAAAGTTTTACAAAAACTTCAATTTCTTTCATCCAAATCCGAAATAAATGATGAATATTGATATAGATTCATGAAATGTAATCACTTTCGGATATAGAATACTTACCAAGTCGAAATCGTGAAAACCCCCTTTAGAATCGCCCAAATCCGAGCTTGAATGACCAAAAATGGAAGAATTTCGAACCCCCCTTCGGTTTATACACTGTCCAGGGGGTACTGTAGCAATTTTATTAGCGCGGTCGTGCATCTGGCCACGCTACTAGCGCGTTCAGAGGCAGAAACATTTCGAATATGCGCGGTCGCGCATCTGGGCGCACATATGACACTGGTCCAGTAAAATAGTCATACCTTTCAGTATACACCTCCAAATGACGAACGGTTTGATTCTATGGAAACTAGACTCAAAGAGATTTAATTTAATAGGTTGTGCATCACACAACTCGTTATATCTACGTATATATGCTCGTCCAAAGTGAGATCTTGTGCGTACTCATTTGCAAATTTTGTATATTATGTAATTTTCCAACTTGTCTTAGACTTAGAACTTTCCTTAAACTCCATATATCTTATAGTTCGCCTTGTACACTTGATATCATATCCAATTGTTATTCATAATGGTAATAGACCTCTTCCACATATAAAATAATATAATTAGAACACGTCAATTTTCTTATTTCGCCGAAATGCGTCGAATTGTCCTATGGACTTCCAAATCCAAATGCGGACATACGTCTTAGTCCGAAATCGCCATACGAAGCTATTGACATCATTAAAATTCCATTTGGGGTCGTTTACTCTCCGGTCAACTCTTTCCATTTGAGCTTCAAAAATAAGATTTTGTTTTTTTTCCTTTAAATTTAACTCTGAATCTTACGAAAACCAATTTCGACCATACATGCGGTTCATGATGCATATTACGAAGCTTCTCAAGGTCTTTAAGCCGCTGAACAAAAATGCTAATTCTTAGAACGAAAAGTCAGGTCGTTATATTCTCCACCTCTTAAACAAACGTTCATCCTCGAACGTACTAAGAATTATTCGAAGGTTATCAACATGATGATTTAACTTTTACACCAATACTAGCGGCTGACCCCATATTACCGCATCCGAAATATGTACGACAATACCATCTCAATTGAGATTATTTCTTTCCTCCATATATTCCCTTGTTTCGGAATAGTGATGTATTTATGTTGTATGACTACTCCTAGTAAGGCTTATGACTTGTACTACCGGTTTTGGGAATTGTAAATTGTTTGGAAAAATTTCATTTGAAGTTAATAAATATCAATGTTATTTCAGTAAATGCTAGGCTTACCTAGTTTAGAGACTAAGTGCCATCACGACTCCTTCGGAGGGATTTTTGGGTCGTGACATTTATTGAATACCCACATATTAAAAAACCAGCAAGAACTTAAACAGAACAAGATCAAAGCTTTGTTTGTCCATGACGTAATATTACATTATTCAAGCAAAATATGTTTGTCCAAGTTAAAACACACACACACACAGAGAAACTCGAACATAATAACAAAGCTCATCGTTTTTATTTTATATACTCAACTACAACCATATCTTCACTACAACAAAATTAAACTTGTAGAGACAATATAGATATCAAACAGCAAGAACAAGAAAAAAAAAGAAAGATAATAGCAGAAGCAGTTATTAGCTGGTTGCAAAAATACCATGGAAATTAAGTCCTCCTGACGCTAAAAATCCTTTTCAAGCAATTCATAAAAGCCAAACAGCAAATACAATAACAAGACTTAACTTGCAGCATGACTTACTATTGCAACTTGAGTATCTGTATGAACTTCCTTCCCTTTCTTTGTACGAGTTGTAATAAACATTTCAGACTTTGATGGTTCCTCATTGTTCTCTTTGGTTGCGCGCTACAAATTACATCAAAGAAGATATAAAAAAGATATCACTTTGTTCCGACAAAGTACAAAAAGAAATAAAAGTAAGATTACAAAGTGTCGACTAAATATTACCTATGCCACACGCACTCTTGCAAAATTAATAGGTCTCATTCTATGCCTCCACTTTTATTTTTTCCTATTTTCAGAATTCAATTGGCACATAGCCTAACAACAAAGGAAGCATATTAATTAATAAATCAAAAAGGAAAAAAATATATACTGCAACAATAGGTAGAAAATGTAGAAATGCACGGTTTAATCTTACTTGGACATCTTCATTATCCCAATACTCAATCAATTGACGGAACTGAACTTCAGGTATCTCATTGGGACAAATTTGTAGCATTTGTTCAATAGTAGAATTTTTATCAAAATATTTCTTCTTAATATTCCTCTTGTGTCGCTTCCAAATATCACGAAGACCAGTCATTACCCATTTCTCTCCTTCAGCTGGAATTAAGAACTTGGACTGTGCAAAATAACACACACATACAATAGTAGTACCGCTTACTCTATAATCAACTCAACAATCCAAGCAAAAGGAGTAGCCACTTCTGTTTCTATCTTAATAAGGATCACAAAAAAATTATACAACTAATAACAGTTAAATAACAATAGAAGGATTTGTAACTTACCTCGAAAAAGAACTTAGGGATTACAAATTTTTGTTGTTATTCTATTAAATAGAGAAATAGAAGTGCTACCCTTTTCATGGAAAATACATAACTTGACATATGTTATATCCAAACAGTATGCCCCTATAATCAAACACCTTCATGGTGTGTAGCAGAAGTATATAGAAATCATAAGTTGGCATTGAATACAAGAACAAGACTTATACAACACAATTAAAAGATGCATAGCAGGTTCATTAGGGGCAGACGGCTGTCCAAAATGCCATGCCTAACCTGGGGAACTACCTCTGACACAAATGTAAAATGTAACCAGTATCCACAGCTTAAGTTAAAACTTCCAAGTTTCCTACTCCACGCCTTAATAGAATGTGTATCATTTTTCTCTAAATTAATGTTGAGACAACCAAATATACCAGAAGCAATAATAGTATTCATCTATTATATACCATCTTAATTAACAGAGAAGCAATAACCCCAAATCTTATCAAGAGACTAGATATACTTATTTGTGTCACATGACAGCATAAGCAATAAACGACACATGTCGTCAACACAGCATCTCTAAGAATCATGGTTGTTATAGCATAATCAAAGATGAGGAGGATCATAAAGCACCAATCATAAAAAAGTAACAATAAAACTGAACAATCAATTAAGCTTCAATCCCAAATTAGCAAAGGTTGGTTGTAAGATTCCTCAGTATCTATCAGAATTACATCTAGAGACCTCAATTTTCCTCCTTTGTTTGAGTTTGTGATCACATAGAACTTCAACTCTCTTGCTTTATTTGATTTTGTGATCATATACACATAGACAAGTTAATAATAGTAAAAAATGTGAAGAATCGAAAAACAAAAAAATAAACGCATCCGTCATGGATGAGAATAGGCACAGAGGTGTTGGGCAGTGTTTTCACAACAGATAATCATAACTGTGTTATTGCAAATGCACTGTAATACCAGTTGTGTCGTATCATGTTTCACTTCTATCGGCCCCAAAAAAATTCAATAAGAAGTTAGATAAATTAAAACTTTTAAGTATAAGAAGGAACATCAATCAAAGATAACCAAAATCAAATAGTAAAGATTACTCCTTTTCAACCCAAGAATCTGAAATTAGTAAAAACAACTAAAACTTATACCCAGAAATTAAACAAAATAAAATTATTTCTTTTCAGCCCAAGAATCTAAAATTAGAAAAACAATTAAAAACATTGAGTATAAATGAAGACAATACCAACATACCCATGTATATACATCATAGAAGATTATTTTTTCATCAGAAATCGAATTTTTTTTTACAGAAAACCTTTGAGTAAAAGAAATACTAACCAATAGAGAAAGGATGGAGATTTGCTATAGTGAAGGAGGAGCTCCAGCAGCGGCGCAAAAAAAAAAGCAACAAAAATTTAGGGTAAGGAGGAAAAGAATGATGGGAGACGTTCTGGATCGGAGGAGTATATTTTAATTACTTTGCCTTTTGAGTATTGGGTGGGGAGGAGGGAAATATTTTCGTTACCTGTGTATTTGGGGGGAANTAAAGTGTTAAATTTGGTATTAGAATATAACAACGCTTCAAAAACGTTGAATTATAATTAATAAGCATTGCCAAATAATTTGTAAATTGGCAACACTTAATAAGTGTTGTCTTTATATTATAAGAGCACGCTTTTTAAGTGTGGTCTTTAAAAACATGGCCAAAGACTTTAGTCAAAAACCAGGCTTTATAAGCTCATCTATAGCTACTTTTGGCAACACTTTTCGAGTGTTGTCTATAATTAGTGTGGCTATAGGCCAAAAATGTTATAGTGCTAGTGTAATATACTTTCTCTCAAACGGAAAGATACTTTATAAACAAACACTAGTGTAATACACGCACAATAAACAAATAAATTCATGTCATGTACTAAATGAATTGAGGGCTAAGCCCTGGACATGCGTAAATAGATTAAATCAATATATATATATATATATATA